TCGCGGCCGCGCGTAGATGCGCCGGGCGACGCGGCCTGCAGCCGTCCGGCGCGCAGTCACCGCCGCAAACGTGCGTGTGTGCTTTACCGGCGTTTACTGCTGCTGTCGCGAACGGTGTGTAGAGGAGCCGCGTGTTGTTCACGGCCCAGGTTTCTGTGCCGTTCGCTGTCAGCTTTCTGCTTCTCCAGCGCTGGTGTTTGTGGTGCGTGGTGGATTTTGTCAGGTGTGTAGGACGTCGTTTGGACGTTGTTTGGATGCAGATTCAAGGGTGGGTTTTTTTGCTGTAGTGGGGTTTTAGCCGGAGTGTAGTTGAAAATTAAAAGCTTCTAAAGCGTCGAGGCGCTGATTCCCTACCTCAGGTAATCGGCTGTGGGCTGCTGTTGTGCTCTTCCCATGAGTAGTCTTAGGGGCGTTTGCGTAATAAAAGCAGGCATAAACATACGAAAACGTTTGCAGGCTCCGGCTCTAGCTCTTGGAAAATATCTAAAACATTTTTAGATCTGAACTTGATGATAACATGCGTAATGCAAAACAAAGACAGGAATTTATGCTGTAAAAAGTGAATAATAAGAGTAGCGCTAATTCACATAACGTCAGAACCGTACGTAGTAGCTGTGTTGGGTCAGGCCTAGCGAGACAGCGTTACGCTTCCCTGTCGCATCTCAGGGGTGGCAGTTCAGGTTTTTGGAGACAATGGCAGATGTCACTACAAAAGGTGTTCGATGTCAAAGTGGAGTTCTGACACAAGTTCTAATACCACATGGAAACAGGAAATTCAGAGCAAAGCCTACTATCACGTGCAACTGAGTTTTCTGCTATTATAGTCTCCACAGATGTTCTTTTACTCGGTATAAAGACAGTTTTGTTATGGATTTATCCTTTTCGTGACAAATCATGTTCTTGATTCTCAAAATATTTACTTTTACAGACACTCAAAAAGGATGCTGCGTATCAGTTGACCATAGCATGAGAATAAATAGGATATAAGATCAAAATTTCATTCAGGTTGCAGCAAGCTTTGCATGAATAACTCCTGCTAAATCAAATGTGAGAGTATAAAATACTTCACAAGTTGGATGGAGTTATCTGTCTACATGGGAAGCTGCTGCTTGTCTGCATAGGAAGGTATCACAGAGCAAGTAGCATATACAGTCCTTTGTCTGCCTTCACAGGCACTTGGGAAACATCCCTACAGAGCACAGGGATTAGTGCAGGTGAGGATATAGCTTCCTTCTCGTGAGCTAACTTAGAAGACCCATGTGCCTGAGCAAACTTGGCAGAATAGCCAGTGGACCGCTTGCAGGCAATTTATAAAAGCAGCAGAACACATCACATGTAGTCTCTCTGTAAGATACTTGTGTCCACACACTGTCTGTCTGGAAAGCTAATACAGAGTAGGTGGGATACTCCCTTTCATGCCCACGTTTACCCCTGGCCAGCTTTCCTGTTCAGCTCTGGCCTTGTGATTGTTAAGAAAGAAACGGAATTTTATACTTGTTTTGTATCCGGGTTTCTGTTTTGTCTGGTGAGAATACTAGGCAAAAGTAAAAATTAGAATTTTTTTATATGTAGGGCTTGCGTGTAGGTCCTTTCCAAGTTCAGTAAGGCAGAGTTTTTGCCCCATAAAATATACTGAAGAGATAATCCTTTATATTTTTCCCTAATTCCAGGTGTAAAGTAAGCCCTCCAATTATTTACTAATTTCAGGAGTCAGTTAATACAGTCACAGGTTTATAGTATGACCTTAAATGATTTGAATATTGGAATTCCAAACCAGCTTTATTGTTTAAACGCAATTTTCTGCTTTAGGCTGTTTAACTCCCACTACCAGTGATTGGCACAAATCTGAACAGTAATAAAGTCATACAGTTACTGTTAATTAATGGCACACATCTGTGTCACTTCTATGTTACTGCAGTGGGGAAGTCATCACTCACTGTTGCATGGAAGTTGCGTTATGTTTAGGCGGTTTATACAGGCTTCACAGTCTCCAAAACAACATGAAAGTGCTTTGTGTGTGTACGAACACCAGCATCTTACTCATATTTTTTCTTGCACTGCAGGAAATCCTTGCCCTAATCGAATGGGAACTGGAAGAGTTCTGGCTATTAACACGTACCTGTGGCTCCTCAGCTTCTTATTTTTCTATATTCCTTTGTATACCACTTAAACAAATAGATTTTTAAATGGGAGTATTAAATTGGTAGTACTAATTTGATTTTTCAGAAACTGAAATTGCCTTTGACCAGCAGGGAAGTAGAAAAACACTTTGTTTTATCTTCAAAGAAGGAAAGGCGTTCAGGTGTTATATTTGAAACGTAATAGTGCATTTTAACGAAATGTGGGGAATGTTAATCGCTGTCGCTAACTTTTTACCAAAGTAAAACATCAGTTCAGCAAATCATTTAAACCTGTGCTTAGTTTAAACTGTGACTAATCCCATCGCTGTTCAGCAAATAATTTAAATTTATTATAGAACTTAAGTACCTGATTAGTCTCATTTCATTAAGGACTTCTTGCATGCTCCAAGTGGAACATGTGCTAAACTAAACAGGATTGAAGTTATCAACCCAATTAGCTGTTTTGCTCCAGATTAAACTCTGCAGCTTCTTCTGAAGTTCTGCATTGGATCGAGGTTTCTCTGATCTCCGTTCCGAGTGAGGCCTGCTGTGCATTAAAGGGTTCCGCCAACAAGGCGTTGGAAGGTATAACGCTAATGCAGGAGGGAAAAACCTTCCTGGTAGGCTCAAATAGTAATAAAAAAGACTTTTCATTCTGTATAGTCATGTCTAAGTGCATGTATATATGTGTGTGTGTGTGCGCACGTCAAAATGTAATAGACGTGCTATATTGTATCTGTAGATGGGTTTGGCACTATATATTGCAATGTAGACTTTCTCACAGGACTAGATAGAGATAATGCTGAGTTTCTTGATGCAGTAGAAACCAGCACGTAGGTTGATCGTGTTGGGCTTTACTTTCTGAAGTTCTGCTTGCTCTGGCCTTTGAGTTGCTGAAGATGACAAGTAGTGAATTAGGGTTCTAGCACATTAGAATAACAGTACCCTTTTCTACCCAATTCCACAGGAGTCGTTAAAGTATCTGGTAGCAGGTGGTCTGTGCCGTCTGCAGGAGCACAACTGTCCAGGGAACTTCTCTGGTTAGTTACCTTTAAGCTAGAGGTTTCCAAACTGTGGAATTTGTATTGGTAGTTGTATACATACTGCTTAAAAGTAGTAGAGAGTAACAGCTGGAACACTGCCTCTTAGACAACCTTCTAGACAATCAGAAACTGCTGCTGCCGCTGCTAACTCTAGAGATCCTACCTGAGCAACCTGTTATGGGGATAACTTAACTGTGATTTTTGTCAAAAAAAAATGCTGCTGACAGATGCACCTGTTTGTTTCTGCCTTTGGAGTACAACTAGAGCAATAATCTTCACCCTAAACTTACATTATTGGTCAAATAAAGCCTATAACTAGGAAAAAAAAACACTTTTCAAGAATTGCTTCTTTAAATAAGACTTATTAGCATATTTGAAGACTACTATACACTGCTGCTTCATTAGATTTCTTCAGCCTGTAAAGGTCTGAGAGGACTAACTCTTAGGCATAAAGAGTACAAGTAAAAAAGAGTTTTTATGTAATCCAGTATAAAAAATGTATTAATAGTTCCTATCTAATTAATGGCTTATAAGATTATCTATGGTGCACATGTCAGGGAGCGATGTGTTATATTATAATGTCATCATTTCATATGATAAAATAATATTTTGCCACTGATACAAATGATCCTATGCAAAATTCAAATGGAACATATGGGACTGTATTTCAGAATTAGAGTATTGTAGCTCAGGACTTTATTAATTAGGTTTTGCTTTGGAAATTTTAGGAAATAATGAGTATATTTTTCCTCTGGTAGATTCTTAATAAATTTTCGAGTTAATTCCTTAAAGTCAGCTTCACATCTAAGAGTTAGTACCTGCTCCCTGCCAGCCTTTTTCTCTCTTCCCTCCTCACACCAGTTCAGAAGCCATTAGCCAGCTTGAGACAGTTATGAGTGAGAAGTAGGAGGCTTAGTGGTATGAACATCAGTGGCTGGCTAGGAAAAAACCCAACAAATTAACATACTTATTCAGAGAAAGACTCTTATTCTCTTTTTTGTCCATTAGAGGATGAACAACTAGATGGCTGGTGGTTTAGTACCACGTTGTAGATAATCCAGGAACTAGTTGTCAAGTTCTGACATCTATAGCACCTCGTCAGCCACAGCCAAATGGTGATGGGGCAATGACTGCAGAAGAGGGGAGACGTACAAATTGGGGACACTGAAAGAAGTTGAGGGAGACTAAGTAGGAAAACGTAAGACACATCCATAGGAAAGGCGGCCTTATTAGTCATACTACTAACAGAGCATCATGTTGTTATTATTATTATTATCTTTAATGATAGCATATCATCATGGTAGTATAAATGAATTTTAAAATAAATTTAAATCCAATGTGGATTTTCCTGGCCAGATTATTAATCTCCTAATGCATTTTGAGACAACAATGTTAATATATTTCCATGTTGTATTCATATAAGGACAAAAATTTCTGTAGTATAAAGAGTTAATGGATACTTATATTTAAAAATTCCCTTAGTACCAAAAATGGAAGAACCTATATTTCAGGTCCTGATTTCACTCCTTTAAATATGACCTTTTCAGAAGCATTAGATTAGATGCTTGAAAGAGCTTCTGTCACTACACCTAATTCATTTAGGATTTCACAGAGATGATTTAAAACACTTATGTTCTCCCCTCAGCATGTGTACAGCGTTAGTGCTGTAGTGTGCTGTTAAGTGTGTACAGAGTTAAAAGAATGGATTCACAGCAGGAAGCGTATTGAATAGGAGATTACTAAACTAGTCAGTAGAAAAAGGGTGATAGAGCATCCTTCCCAGCACAAACCCCCTTCTGCATGTAGTTGCCTGAATTATTCACTTGGGTACATATGTGTCACTAACTATTTTTTGTTTTAAAGCATTGAGAGATTGGAGAGAAAGAGAAGAGTCGATGGTGGTAGAGACGAGAGCACCAAACCTTTAAAAACTAAGTGTTTAATGTTTAATTTAGTGTAGTGGCTAGAGTAGCTGCAAAGCATTTGTGAAATTTGGGTTCAGTGCCCTTGGCCTTAGGGAGATCACATCCCTTGCATCTCATGCAAGTGCTGTAATTCTA